TACGGGGCTGGGAGTTGGCACACGGGGGTAATCGAGCATGCTGATTACGAATATAATAATGACAGGGCCGGGCGGAGGCGGGTAAGTCAACTAGTATATAATAACTTAAAATAGCGGGCTAAGGGTGTTTACGTGACTTTGTGTGTGTCTGTCTGTCTGTCTGTAACGAAATTCATGGAGCGAGTTCCAGCCAATGTCCTGGGCCCAAATTTTGCACAGCGCATGCTACCAGCGTAGAACTCCACCATACAAAATCACGAGCGGATTCGTTCGGTGGATCGATCAGAATTTGCGAGTTATACAAATCCACTTGGCTTCTGGCCCGCAAAATTGAGTCTGTATCAACGCTTTGTGCAAAGTCGTGGATGTGTTCAGCATGTTGATGTGCAAGACATGGACTTTAGGCGAAAATGTGACCAAAGGTCTACTACTTCACCAGAACGATGCCAAAAAGAAATGGTTGCGCGAATGGTCAATTTGCCGTGGTTTTACCTAACCATTTGAAAGGATTTTTGCATAGAGATGAAGCTCACGGTAATTGTTGTCCTTATGGCGACTACCAAGCCAAAAGAAGTTTTAAAAACCTAATCGAATTTGCATTTGTTCTCCTGAGAAAAGTTCCATCCACGCGAAATTACGATCTCACATGAAAAAGCCTTTGAAATGAGTAGTTGTTTACATTTCATTCGTGGTAGTCGTCATTGCACGGTGAGTTTCAAAGACATTATTAGGCGAACAAGTAAAGCATATAAAGTGAGACCAGTGTGAGCCTCTGCGAAGCAGAGGTGACGCACTGGTGTATATATATAACTCGAACACTGTACCTTTATTTGTAAGGATGTTTGTGGCTTATAGGCTCCTTTGTATGTGAACCAAGGAGGTTGAAATCTGTTCTCCTATAAATGAGACATGGCGCAGAAGATAGGCTACTTTTCGCTACTTTTCGCTGGGTCCTTCTATCGATTTATTAATTTGTTTACTTACATCCAGGAGAATGAAAGCATATTAATCATTTCTCCAAGCTAAGTAGTAGGGGGCAGTAGAGATCATTTGCATTTTGCGGTGAGGAGAATGCGGCGTCACGAAGCAGTTGGTCAAGAAAGAAGGTAATTTTACCAAGAATGCTACGGGAGCGCTTCAATTTGAACATCGGAGCTGAAGCGGAAGAGAAAATGAAATGAAAATGCAAGTTAAAGGAAATGTAGGAATAGTAAGCACTAGTTGACTTGCTCCGCCCGGAACTGTCATTATTGTATTTGTAATCAGCATGCTCGATTAACCCCCTGTGCCAACTCCCAGCCCCGTAGCTCAAATTTTGCAAAAAATCGATAAAATCGATATCGACGAAAAGTAGCCTATGACACCCGCCGGGGCCCGAAGTGTATGTGTGCCAAGCTTGGTCCGGATCGGTTCAGAAATGGAATCTTCTATTCGAAACATACGTACAAACATACAGACAGACATGCAGACAGACAGACAGACAAACAGACATTCAGCTATATATATAAGATAAGACATTTTGGAATAGACCCTTTGCGGGCCACTTTGGATCCTCGACCCGGGCGAGACCGGGAACCGCAGCTAGTGAACAATCAAGAATAAGTATATATAGACGTTCGCTTGCTGGCTCCACCACTCCTTCTCCAGCAATCGTGTTTCCATATGAACAATATTGCATTTGGCATTCATTCTGTGACATTCCGCGACATACATATTCTCTAGCAAGCACTGGTAACATTGATGGATTGTAATGCGATTCGCGAGAGGGGCATCGCGGTTGCGTTCGGATGCCATTTTGTTGCAGTTCGCATCTCTTCAGATTGCAAACATTTGCCTCACGATCAGCGATGTAAAACAAAACACAGAAAGAACGTTGAAAACTGTACAAAAAAGTTACTATGTGCGTACCTTTACTTGACAGCGGCATGCGGTATAGGCGCGCACCACTGCGCTTAGAAGATTGCCGCCGCCATTCAGTTTAGCTATAACTAGGCGGAAGGAGGGGATTCAAGGCGCCTTTAGAATTAGTTTGTAAAATTTCAAATGTAGAACAAAGTTATTTTATTTGAGTTTGGTAAATTATATGAAAAGAGGAAAAAAATTGTAGTTTTGTTATCTCCGAGCCATCTCACGTAGCTCATTAAAAGCCACCTTACTCCGGAAAAAGTTCACCAGCCTTTAGTTTAATTACTTTTCCATGATCTTCCAAACACAGCTCCAACTCCCTGCGCATTCAAACACCTATTCTTGTGTTTTATGCTTTCTCTTAAATGTAAACAAGCCAATTCTTTATTTCGGCATTCTGATTTTCCGCGCTGCTGAAGACCGCATTGGTGGTGGAAATTGTGGGTTTTGCAAAAAATGTAATTTATGGCAGTGAGGAGCACCTTGCGACATGTTTAGAAGATGAGGAGATGGAGTAATAGAGGAAGGGCAGTTGTCGTGGAAAGAGAAGAAAAAATGAGAGTTTATATGACTTTGACTTGCGGCAAATGTTGGGAAAAGCTTTTTGGTCATGAGGAAGGACGCAGAATTTGTTGGATTGATGGGCGTGAAGTTGGCCAACCTTCAATCTTTGTTCTTCTTTATTTTCACTTGAAAATCCAGTTTTATGCCTGGGGTGATCAAAAAGTTTCTTCAACAATTTTATCACTTCCGCGATTTTGAATTTGCACGCAATAATTAGCACTTTATTGCATTATTTTTGCAGTTTGCCTCGAATAATATTCAGCCTGCTCCGCAAGCTGCCTGTGCGGAGGTTTGTCAGCTTACTATTAAGGGAATCGCTATGATCTTTTCGGTCTGCAATGTTTTTCAGAATCGTTGCTTCAGCCAGTAAAACTTTGTTTAGATACAAAAAATAATTAACGGCATGTTTGGCAATGTTTCAATCGATTGTTCTTCGTTTTGGTCTCAACAACTCATACAACAAAATTGGCTTGGTACAAGCGAGTGCGCCTGTTTGAGCGTCATTGTCAGGGCCATTGCGTCACCTCTACTAGAGGCTTGCATTAGCCTTACTATCTATATGCCTTAAGCCTCATTATCAGAATGGTGACATTAAAACTCGCCGCGCTATGCTGGCTATCACGTATAAACTGTAAACAAATGCTCATTCCGAACGTCCCATGTGAGATCGGTGTTTTTGAATTTTTATGGCTGGTAGTTGCCACAAGGGCAGTAACCATCGTAAGCTACACCTGTGCAAAAACCTTCTCAAATGCTCAAGCATTGGCAAGTTAACCTTTTACGCAGCAAATTCCTTTCGGCCCCTTTTCGTCAAATCGTGGACTTTTGATCGCTTTTTGAATTGAAGACTATGTCTTGCGCATTTACTTGCACGCAATGACGACTTGACAAAAAGTGCTGATACGGACCCAATTTTGCAGCTCAAAAATCAAGTCGTTGTTTGACGCTCACTTTCTAAGAAATTCACTCAACGAATCCGAATTTTGCGCTTGCATGGCAAGCTTTCATCCTAACATGCGCTATGCAAAATTCGTTTCAGATCGTTGAGCGAAACACACACACATACACACACACACACACACACACACACACACAAACACACACACACACACACAAAGTCACATAAGCACTTTTAGCCCGCTATTATAAATAATGTTGTGTACCAGCAAAGACATGTATACAAAAAATCAAAGCCGCTCCCACAAATGTCTACGGCCCCGAGTAGTAACAGAAACGATGTCAGAATCCTCGGCGCACTTTTTATCAGGCTATTTACTGAGTTTTACAACTACTTTTATAACTTCTTTCACTTTCCAAAAAGACGCTCTCAAATTTCGTGCAGGTTGTGACGTAAGCTACAAGTGGGGCCAAGTTGTGCAAAATTCTGAAGTTGCAGCGGGGTTATGGTAGGTATATGGTACAAGAGAATAGAAATTATTTCAAAATTGGGTGAAGCTTTGCACAGATGGGTTATCTGACATGCTGATTACGAAAACGATATCGGTTTGCATGGTAGGAGCTTCTTCCAACGTTACGGTAGTTTGCGGTATGGGGTCTCAAGCTAAACAGGAAAAGAGGCGTTATTTTGATGAACGAGTATGATATTCATATTCGGCAGGGCAAATAAAACTCCATCATGCAAAGTTTTGGCAAATTCTGAGACTTCGACTCTTAGTGAAGGACGCTTGTCCGTAAGCAATTTGCGTACCGCGGCTCGTTTAATTTGTGAGGGCGCCAAATTTTGGAGTTGTCTTCGAAATCCATTTCTTCCTTGCTGAGCTAGATGAGTCAACATCTAACAATAATTTAGGTACACTTGCGTATTGTTATGGTTTAGGTTGAGAACGAGTCGAGTTCATTTTCCTCAAACCCCATAAATCCTTAATTTCACCATTTTCAAAAATTCTCTAATTTGTCATTAGAAAGTGAGCCGCTTGTGCCAGTCTATACCTTACATGGCAGTCTACAGCGCTAATATCAGAAAGCGAGAAGCTATGGACTAAAAGAGTCTAGGACGACACGTCATGGAAACTGCCTTATGCTCTACACCGTTCCGAAGCAGTCTCCACAAACGCCAATTCCCCATACGCTTGAGTGCCCCGATATCGCTGCAAAGGAAATGAAGGTTAGAATGAAGGACGCTCGACAGATGAGCGATGAGACTTTTTCATTTGTAGTGGGAAAGTTCCATCACGAAACATTGGCGGTGTTGGCCTTATCGACAAACCCTATGTCTTCCACCGTCGATTTGCATGAGATCCTGTCAACTTGACTAGTCTGCAATTACAACGTCTACGTAACTGCATGCTCAGTACTGCTTACGATAAAGTAGCAACAGGCATCTACCGCGTCTAACATCAATTATGAGGCGTGCAGAAGATAATTTTATGCATTTACTTATCGGACGGTTACATTCTAGAATAATGCCAATTGGCTTTCTGCCTTTACACGCTTGATGTTGTCCAAAAATAAAACACTAGCATTTTTCGTCAAAGTATTTACTTCATGCACTCACTCTTATCTTAGTTCAGGATTTGAAAAAACTGACGGAGTCATCGTGCTTCCTGAAAACGCAAGAGAAGTTCGGTCAAGCACTGCTTGCAAGCTATGCCAGTGCTGCCGACGGACATGTAAGTCACGTTTCAATTTGAAACCTTCAGAAATCTACATAAATACGCCAGAGTTAATGTTATGTATTTTTATGAAAGAAGATACATTATGCCAATCTGGGCCAAACACTGCAGACTTCGGAACTTTCGTTATTGAATTGTATCGATTTTATCGATTTTTTGCAAATTTGAGCTACTGGGCTGAGGTTTGACACAACGATGGATGGGTGCGCTGATTATCATAACTTATAATAACGGGCTAAGGGTTGTTTACGTTTGTCTGTGTGTGTGTGAATCTCTGTCTGTCACGAAATTCGTAGAGCGAGTTCCAGCAAAGTTCTTGAGCTAGAATTTTGGTTGTAGCACCCTATCAGCATTTAGGTGAGATCTCCAAAATCACAAGCCAATCCGATAATTGGAACCTGTGAATTTGTGCGCCAAACGGATCCATGCGACATTTCGCGCGCCGAAGTGTGCCTGTAATTTGACTTTATCCAAAGTCACGGTTTCCTTTAGCAAATCCGCAAAACATGGACTCCAGCCCGAAAAGTGAGCAAAAAGTTTACTTTATGCAAGTGGCGCCAAAAAGGAATAAGTGCGTAGATGATCGATTAGTCAAGGTTTTACTTGGAAATGTAGGAAAATTTTTGCGCAGAAATGTAACTCACGGTTCTCATCCTTTATGGCGACTATCAAGCCATTATAACCCCAGTAACTGATTCAGAATCGCTTTAATCTTTGGGAGAATACTTTCTTTCCCTCAAAGTCACCGATCTGACATGAAAAGCTTTCAGAATGAGTAGTTGTTTACAATTCATTCGTGATGATCGGCATCGCGAGGTAAGTTTTTAAGCCATCATTTTGGAACTACGAGGAAGGCATGTAGATAGTAGAACCAGTGCGAGCCTCTGCGAAGCAGAGGTGACGCACTGGTAAATAGAATAATCGTTTATAAAAATACCCATCAATTTTACTGATTCTATCAATATACTTCAGATTCCGGTGTGAGAGTCCGCAAAGAGGAAGGGGGGGGGAGTGTTTACGAAAGCAACATCAGTTCAGAAAACAGTGCATTGATCGATCCTATTATTCAAACTTTGAGCTGGGGCGTTTGTTGTTATGTATTAGTTGCCCGAAGTTTTGCAATTTCTTTATTAACAAAACTTCTATACAATACAATTAGTCCGAAACAGCGAAACTAATAGAAGAGGAATTCTCCTTTATTTGCGAACACTTGCCTCCATTACTCTTCGGGTTGGTAAATTTTACGACGATACCAATTCCGGTTCTTAGAACGGAAAGTCGCGGGGACTGTGCATTTATTCGATGGTTTGGAATCTTTTTCCATGCAACCACTGCTCGAGAGAACGAAAAAGTAGAAGTCACTTGAGGCCGTATCTGTACTGTAGGGTATCTGGTCTATTTACTTTCATTTGAAAGCTCTTGTTCTATCAAAGGTGTCGATTTATGAGGCTTTGCTTGTCGTCAAGGAAAACACTGGAATTCTTCGATTTTGAAAGGCGCGATAGGCTATATCAAGGCACTCAGAGTACAATTTTGCGTCAACGGTCTTATCGAATTCTAGCAAACGCCAAAAAACTACCCCTTGCCTATCCCACCATACCCAGAGCATCAGTTTTGTCGCGCGAAAACTTTCCTCAACGTTTGTCCCGATCGTTCGCTGAGGGATCTCCACTCCTCATGGCGCTCCTCATTAACATACAACCCATTTTTCATCACATGCCACCACCATGTCCAGAAAAGGCGTACGCTTAATTTTAGAAGTTTTCTTGCAATTCTGACGCTTTTTTGCTTTTGCTTTTGAACCTCTGTGAGCTCTTTTGGCACCCGTCGACTTCTGTGCAAAAGTTCTGTCAGTTTTTTCAATCCTTTGACAAAAATGAAGACAAACAAACGCTTCAAAACGTATCCAATGCAGAATTTCTTCCTCTTTCCAGCAGCTAAACTCACATTGTGTTTTGTTGAGAGAGTGATGAGATATTCGTTGGAAATCGCAACTATTCCTTTTCACCAAGTCCAAATTTCACTAATCTTTCAGAATTTTTATATAAGAGTTTCGGAGGAGCACTGATAACCACCAGATAGGGCAAACCTTTTGCCAACTTATGCATTTTTTCTTTTTTTTTCAGCTGCTTTTTCAGATTTTTGCTAAATTATTTTCTAAAAGTCTTGTGTTTTGAAAGAATTGCATAACTTGTTATTGCACCAAACAATGCAAAACACTAAAGAATACTGAGGTTTCAACACTCGATTATTACTACCGCTGCCATTACACAGTAAATGAGCGATTTTGGATTCAAAAGAGCAGTGGTATCAACGCAGAGTACTATGCGCACTCCTAAAATTAAGAAATATCACAAAATAGATGATGGCGCCCCCGGCCCCCGCCCGGGAATCGGGCAACTTAATCCCAAACGCGTTGAAACTTATTGCTTTTCTCCATATTGACGCGAAAGGTGACTCTCTCTTGCTGACTTAAAACACCGGATCCTTGTGGCCGAAAAATGTAAATGAACTTTACCGCCCAACTTACATGACTTTGGGGAAATGATTCAACAATGATTGGTGAACCCTCAATGTAAATGAACAAATCAGTAAATCGATTGAAGAGCCCAGTGAATCGTCGAGAAAGTAGCCTATTTTTTGCGCCTGGCCTCATTCATAGGGGGAGTAATATCAGCCTCATCGGTTCACAAACAAAGGAGTCTATAAGCCACATACCTACATACGAACAAATTTGCAGAGATTGAGTTTTATTTATATATAGGTTTCGTTTGTCTCGGCAAAAAAAAAACAAGCGTCAGAAAGAGGAGAAAAAGCTGAATCGAAGGTGACTAAAGTGTTTGGCAGGGTTCATACTGAGCCGCACAAAGCGGGCACAGTATGAACCCTGCCTTTGACATTGTGTTCTACGAGGTTAAAAGAGGCTGAATGTGAATTTGGTCATTTTGAAAAATAAATCATAGAAATTGTGAAAGACACCATAGGGCTACAAAAGGTTGCTTCTGTTGGCAAAAGGCTTGCAATATCTGCCGGTTGTCAGAGCTCCTCCGAAAATTTCATATAAAAATTTTGAAAATTGACGAAAGTTGGACATGGTAAAAACGAATGGTTACAATTTCCGGCGAACATTTTATCACTCTCTAAGCGAAACACAATAAAATTTTAGCAGCTGGAAAGAGGAAGAAATTATGCATCGCATACATTTAAATTGTTTGCTTATCTTCATTCAAACGTGTGATGGATTGAAAATCTGACAAAACTTTTGAACCGACCTAGTATTTTGGAAAATCTAGTGTGTTGTACAGTATTTTTTTTTCAATTTGTGTGTGGCTGCAGTAAAAATCCTTCAGGCACTAGTGTGTTGTACAGTATTTTTTTCAATTTGTGTGTGGGCTGCAGTAAAAATCCTTCAGGCACTAGTGTGTTGTACAGTATTTTTTTCAATTTGCGTGTGGCTGCAGTAAAAATCCTCAGTTTAGCATTCGCCTTGTGTCGATGGATTGTGGCCGACGGCATTGATGACATCGGCCCGCTTGACTTTTCGAGGTCTGCGGATCGCGGCTTGTCTTCACTTCTGTGTCCTTTTTCTTAATTTGTTGTGCCAATGGTTAACTACATTTTGCCATAGTTTCGAGTCTCTACGCTTGATTGATGTCCATGACGGCTTCAGATTGGTGTGACCTAGCGAATGCTTGTATTCGACCAATTTTCGAAGAACGCGTTGATTATTTTCTATTTTGTTTCTAAAAATCCAACTGTCATTATATTTGTAGATTACCACATAATCTTTTGAACGGCACAAAATGAAAAAAACCACATACACAACTCAAAAAGTTATAAACAAAGTTGCAAAATTTATGTGCCAACCTAATACACGGGGTAAATAAATACTAATCGCGAAAGCACTTTGAGGACAGAGAAGTGGCATATAAAAGGGGGAAGAAACAAGCGCATGTAGTATGAAAGTGGAGCGGAATAGTGAGTTTGATTATAAAAGTGGGACCGAACGAAGCCGGGTATCCTAACTATACAATATGACTGGCTCGATTTGCGATGGTTTCTCAAGATTATGTTTGGCAGACTCATTTCGAAGTCTAAAATTTTTACGAGCTAGTAACTTTAATGAACTATTTCAACTTGAAGCAACTAAAACTAATGGTTAAAAGTCAAAAATATTGATGTCATTTCGCAGCGAATATAGAAGTGGCAGTCAAGAAAGTGCAAAGAGAACGACCGAATCTTTTTTGCAATTAATTTATTAGCATTAGGATGAAAACTAATTCTTGCAACTCACTAGCTAATCTTGCTCCCTTTTGATATAGAGCACTCAAGTTTTGCCAATGTGTAGGTTATGACGTAAGCAACAAGCATAGCTGCTGTTCCGCCAAAGCTTTTTTGGAGGATTACTGTAGCTTTACGGTATTAGGTCTCGCCCTAGACAATGCAGAAGACGTTAATTTAACATACTAATATGATGCACGTGTTTAGCAGGCCGAAGAATTCACTATTGAAGTCTTTGTGGATGATAACGTTCCGACTCCCTAGTCATCATTGGTTGCCCCCACCAGCCTTGCGTACTTCAACTTCGTGAGGGCACTAGAACTCGATTTTTTTTCAATTCTATTCCTTTCCTACTGAGCCAAATGAGTCAACCTCAAGCAATAATCCACATAAAGTTATGGATTATTATGCATGATTTGGGTCACGAACGGCTTCATTTTCGCTTATAACCTCATAAATTCTTGGAAGCTTACTATTTTTGGAAAAATGTTTGTAAATTTTTCATTTTGTTTTCAAAAATCAAACTCTTTAAATGCAGTTCATGCTTCTGCTGTAGCACACAATGAGATCTACTAGCCAAAGTTTGAGTGAGACACGTTCAAGGAGAGTAAAATGAAAGCAGTCGCAAAATTTACTTTCTAACTTTATATTTCAGTTCAGTTTGCAAGTCACCGTACGAGGTGAGACTTTTGATCTGAATTGTATAATATAAGCCG